GTAACACCCATATGTCATATTACTTTTGAAGAGAATTGGAAGAAAGTTTTACATTCCTTTTTAATTTTTCTGAAAGAAATGTTACAGAGAACAAAGAAAGTAGCTACTTGTAAAAATATGATGTACATAGTAAAATATTAGTGTACTGTTTGCTGCTGAACAATTCTGAAAAAAGCCCATTATATTATTTCTTCATGTATATTCACTTTTGTAAAGAGAATTCCCAAATTTAAACATCTGCTATATTTCAAAAATTGTTATCCCTCTTCTAACATAAGGATTAAAATTATTGCGTTAGAATTCTTTTAAGTTGCGATTTAAAGGAAGACTTACTAAAACTTGACATTAAAATCTACTAGGGTCAGCCTAGGGTATAGAAATGATAGGATATGATTCAACCATTTGCCTAGGGATACTACTGCCAGTGGAGTATGTCTATATACATAGCAGTTGAAAATGCTGGTAATATAATTCCAGCTCTTTGTCTATTTCAAGTGAAACATTATTTGGGAAGCAACTCATGGTATAGGTTCTCCTGCTTGAGCAGGGGGCTGGACTAGAAGACCTCCAAGGTCCCTTCCAACTCCTACTCTACTCTACTCTACTCTTTTTTGTTCAATCTGTATGCTGACGTGAACATGCGGAAATTAGATCTGGAACTGCCTGATGTTGGAGTGAAGATTGGGGGAAGAACCATAAATAATTTGAGGTATGCAGATGATACAACACTATTGGCTGAAAATAAGGAAGACCTGGAAAAAGTGATCTGGAAAATCAAGGACAAAAGTGAAAAAGTAGAATTGAGTCTTAACATCAGGAAAACAAAGATAATGACAACAGCTGCAGATGGACATGAGACGTTTAAAAATCAACAAGAAGGAAATTGGATTAATTCAGAACATTTTCTTCCTTGGATCCAAAATTGTTCACAATGGCAATTCTACTCCTGAAATCAAGCGCAGGAAAAATCTTAGGCCGCACTACAATGGTTAACATGAATAAGATCTGGAAAAACAGAGATATTGATATAAATACAAAAAGCAGGCTAGTTAAAGCAAAAGTTTTCTCTATAATGTTGTATGGGTGTGAAAGTTGGACATTAAGAATGGCTGATCAAAGAAGAATTGAACTGTGGTGCTGACAAAAATTATTGCGTATNTAAAGAATTTAGGAAATACGTGCTACATGAACTCTATCCTCCAAGTATTAAGTCACCTCCAGAAATTTAGAGAATGTTTCCTGACGCTGGATCTTTGTGAAACTGAAGAACTCTTAGCTAAGACTGTAATTGGAAAATCTAGAATATCTGGAAAGCTAGTCACTGGATCTACTCCAACTGAGTCAGGCAGAAATGATCAACTGGGTTCATTTGGCAGGCAAAGCCTATCTGTTGGTTTAAATGGTGGGTCCTCAATAAGCAAAAGTTTAGAACTAATACAGCCCAAGGAACCAAGTTCAAAGCACATCTCCCTTTGTCATGAACTGCACACACTCTTCAGAGTTATGTGGTCTGGAAAGTGGGCTTCAGTGTCTCCTTTTGCCATGCTACACTCTGTATGGAGTTTGATTCCAGCATTTCGAGGTTACGATCAGCAAGATGCTCAGGAATTTCTTTGTGAATTGTTGGACAAAGTGCAGCAAGAGTTGGAATCGGAAGGAACAAAACGCAGGATCCTCATCCCTTTTCCACAAAGGAAGCTCACCAAGCAGGTCCTGAAAGTGGTGAACACCATTTTTCACGGGCAGCTCCTCAGTCAGGTAAGCATGTTATCCAATCCTTTGCCCAGGCCAGAAATACTCATTTTCATACATAGAAAAAGAATTGACATGTTTTTCTAATGCAGTAGAGTTGTTGCATGGTTCTTTTTTTCTAGTTGCAGCCAAAGGTGAGCTTTTAAAATTTAGCAGGCAATTTTGTGTGTGTTGTATGTACTGACTTGATTCTTCCTCTTCAGATTCTTGTTTCTATTAAGGCAGTGTTTCTCAACCTTGACAATTTTAAGGCATGTGGCCTTCAACTCCCAGAATTCCACAGCCAGCATTGCTGGCTGTGGAATTCTGGGAGTTGAAGTCCACATGCCTTAAAATTGTCAAGGTTGAGAAACACTGTATTAAGGTATTTTATGACTATATGGGTGTGATTGTTGCTTCTTCTTTCCTTGAATATACACCCTTGTATATTCTCATATGTCTTTTATAAACTTTATCATTTCTTCAAAAGCATATTTGATAGAGTGAAGCTGGTTTTACATTTTAAGCCATAAAGAATTTTTTCGCAAAAACAGTTTATCTTTTCTTAAAATAGCATTTGATACTTTTTTCACCTATATATTTTATAAATATGAACTTGTTCTTATGTAGCAGTGATCCTTGGCATTATAACTAAGTGAGCTTCAGTCTTAGAAACTCTGCTACCTTTCACAATCTCTGATTTCTTTCTTAATGTTTTTATTCATTCTATCTATAGAGTCCCGCTTTTCCTAATCCTGGAACTGTGGGAGAAGATCATAATGAGGGCTCACTCAGAGCTGAAGCTCATATACCATTAGATCATTATTTTTTTTACAAAGAGGAGTGTGGCAACAGGTGTTCTGATTTGATAAACCTAGCAAATTGAATATCACATTTTCTTTCTTTAACCTGTTTTATATCACTGACTGTTGTGATATATATAGAACACCCTCCCCCAAATACTGTATACCCAATCACATATGTACTACACCTATATATGTATAGTATGTGGTATAACAAACACACACACACATATTCTCTCTCTCTCTCTCTCTCTCTCTCTCTCTCTCTCTCTCTCTCTCTCTCTCTCTCTCTGTGTGTGTGTGTGTGTGTGTGTGTGTGTGTGTGAATCCTATCTCAATCCTGCTATTGATATTTCAGCAATGCAATATTTGGGTGATTCCAGGGATCTGGAATTAAGCAGCTTATTCCTGCTTAATTGTTAAATAGTTTGATTTTTTATAAAGCAACATTTTAAAATTAACATTTATGCTAATAGAATAATCTTTGTGTTAGACACAGATTCCAATAGATAAAAACTGATTCTTATAGTAGAGAGTTGTATGAAGGTAGTAAAATAACACAATGTTTTTTATGTGAGAATTTTAAAACAAAATATCCTACGGATGGTTACAGATTTGGGCCATTTCAGACTGGAAAATAAGCCCACAGAAATCACAATTTTTGGCTCTGTTGGAATGTTCTGATATTCTTTTTTTCCTTCACAGGTCACTTGTATAACGTGTAATTATAAATCCAATACCGTGGAACCTTTCTGGGATCTTTCCCTGGAATTTCCAGAACGTTACCATTCTATCAATAAAGGGATTGTGCCTCTTAATCAGACTGAGTGCATGTTGACTGAAATGTTGGCCAAATTCACAGAAACAGAAGCTTTGGAAGGGAGAATTTATGCATGTGACCAGTGTAACAGTAAGAAAAATCTGTTTTGTTATGTGTTCTCATTGAATCTGTTCAGAAATGTCCTTGTATGTTTTTATAATTGTAAAGCTCAGTTTTTTCCAAGAAGGTGCTTCCAGATATATGGCATGTGAAGTCATGGAATTCCCAGTCAATGCAATCATAAGTCCTGCTGGTCGGGAATTCTGGCAATTTAAGTCCCACCTAGCTAGATAATATCAGATGAGCAAAGCTGCTATAGTTTCTCTTTCATTATTTTTAAATTGCTACAAAAGAGTTTGGAAAGTTATTAATAATGTTGTTTACATAATATCAGCAATTAAAGATGATCATAGATTGTAAAAGAATTTTACTTCAAAATAGAATTGTCAACAGACTGTAGTGTCTTGTATCTCTCTTTCCCAAAAGAAAGCAAAGAAAAATTTATTATTTCTTCTGGCAGATTGCTGAGATGTCTAATAGATATGCTGGAGATACAAGAAAACAACATTTCTTGAAAGAGATTGCTTTCTCTCAAAGGATAGAAATAGTTGTTTTAGAACACTACTGTACAGATTATAGCCCCATAAAAAGGAATGGACTGGATGAGGTCCCAAAATTGCATTGAGTCCTTACGTTTTTGTTTTGGGATCTTCAGAATTTTTTTTCAATCACTGTTTTTAGAAACCAGAGACACTGTTTATTGCCATTTTTAGGAGGTAACCAAAGCTGCACAAATAAAGCAAATTAAAAATCCTAAATTCCCATCCTATAAAGAAAGGAAAGAAAATCAGAAAAATGTCAGACTCTCCAAAAAGAATATATGTATTATCTTGCCAATTTTGCTTCACTGATCAACAGTTATAATCCTGCCACCTTAAAAAATGTACAATGACCCTGGTCATTAAAAAAAACATTGCCCAACCTTGCCCTACAACCGTGGTAATTGTCCCTAGAAATTTTCCAGATGTTGCTATCAAATTTTACTTTTTAGGAGCTAGAAGGAGAAGTAATTTAATATTTCTGTGGAATAATTATGTTGCATTATAATTTAATCTTTTCCACCTTATTTCTTTGTTTGGAACTAAAAAAATAAAAGGAATGGCATATTGGGAGAAAGCAATACAGGTAGTCCTTGGGTTATGACAACGACAATTGGAAGCAGAACTTCCATCAATAAGTGATGCAATTGTAAAGTATGATGTCACATGACTACATCACTTAATGGTGGCACTCCTGGCAATCCTGAAGATAAAGAGTGTGTCATCCCAGGAGCATGGTTCATTAAGTAGGAAAAAGTAGAGGTCCCAGGCAAGGATCATGGGGGGGAGGGGGTGCCACAGGCAGGCCCTATGGAGTGTGAGTGGGCTGGTGGTGGTCACAGATATGTTAGCAGAAGCCGTGGGCGGGCACTGAGGGGTGAGTGCTGTGGGGGATGCTGCCAGGGATTCACACCACGAAGCAAGAGGTGCTGCCAGTAGGCACGTGCTACAGAGAACAGATAGGGGTGCTTCTGAGTATGAGATCCCTGGGGACTTCATAGTGAGGCTCCTCAAGAGGAAAAAGCAGCAGAAGTGACTTGGGATCTTCTCTGCCAGCTTTCTCATTGACTCTGCTGGTGGGAAGCTGGCAAAGAAGGTTGCAAATGGCAATCACGTGACCATGGGACATGGCAATGGTCAGAACTTTGAGGATCAATCATAAGTACTGTTGGTTCAGTACCACTTTAACTCTGGAGTAAACAAGTGGTAATAGGTTGAGCACTATGTAATGTTTGAAGGAAAATGATAGTTCTAGTCATGCCATGAATTCTTGAAATGCTACAGTATATATAGATGACTTGGAGCAGGTAGATTTCAAATCTGAACCAAGAGACTGTCTTGAATTTTCTGCATTTGGAACTTTAAACGTGACAGTGCAATAGTGCAATGCATATATTCAAGCCTCATGTTGCACTTCACAGGCTCAGAAAAATAGTGCATATATATATATTGGTTCCCACAGAGGCCAACAAAAGGGAACTATGAAAGGGAAACACTGAACTTGGCACAGGCAGTCCTTTAAATAGCAAAGAGAGTGAGAGGCAAACTGTTTATTGCTTGTCTTTTATTTTTTATTCTCACCGTGTTTAACGTTTAATTGGTATTTTTTTAAAAAACTTTCTGGGTAAGAGATTTTTCTTTTTATAACTTTTCTGCTAATTCCTTCATGAAATGAGAACCAAATTGGTTTTGAAATCCCTAACTAGTCCATGTATAGCTAAAGAAATTGGGCTACAATCCCATACTTCAAGAGAGAGCAACCTGCAGCTCAAGGCCTCATATCACTTGAGCACCTTCTTTGTGGTCCTTGGAATTTCCTTGATGAAAATATATAGTAATATTCCCACTGTTTTGAAGTAAAAAAACTGAAAATCATAGCCCTAAAAATAGACATGTTAAAGTTTAAAAAAGCAACTCCCCAAACCACCAAAACTAAAAAAAAAAAAAAACAAAGTTGAAAGAGGTATAAGCAGAAATTCCAGGAATGTTTATCCTTTCCAACTTTATTATTTAGATTATGGCTTGCTGAAAATGGAGAGACAATTTGTTGTGCACAACTTTTTTATTGGAAGATGGAAGACTTTATTTAACTCATGACATTTTGTGTTCTTTCTTAAATGTTACATAGGCAAACGACGGAAGTCTTCTCCCAAACCTCTTATTCTAAGTGAAGCTAAAAAGCAGTTAATGATCTACAGACTACCTCAGGTCCTCCGGCTGCACCTTAAACGATTCAGGTGAATAGAAGGTGTAGAAATGTGGAGTCATTTTTGTATCTGAAATGGCAGTATAGTTATTACTATATTATTTCTAGAGTACTAAACGTAACACCCATATGTCATATTACTTTTGAAGAGAATTGGAAGAAAGTTTTACATTCCTTTTTAATTTTTCTGAAAGAAATGTTACAGAGAACAAAGAAAGTAGCTACTTGTAAAAATATGATGTACATAGTAAAATATTAGTGTACTGTTTGCTGCTGAACAATTCTGAAAAAAGCCCATTATATTATTTCTTCATGTA